TCCAGATACCCTGACAGACATGGACAAGGGATATGCTTGCAGGCACACAATCATGGTCAAGGGTTCCGCACAGAAAGCCAAAACTAACAGTAAAAATAATCAGAAATACTAAAATATATTGGGGGTTTATGTGTTCCAGCTCTGGTTAAAACGTTATTTAGGTATTCTGTCTTTAAAGATACAGAACAACCCTGAGAGGTCACCGATAAGGAAAGAAAGGCTCCGAGAGGGAACAGTGGTTTGGCCAGGGTCATCTAAGTGGCCGATGGGACTGGCATGAGTCATTAATGATGACATTGTGACAGATTAAGGCAAAGAACCCGACTTTCAGTAGGCACTTACTAGGTGATGAGCCCTTGCCCTCTCCCTTACTGCTATTTGATGACCATGAAATTCATTTCCAACTCAGAGGGGACCTATGTGGCCCTAATAGGTTGTAGTCTTTACAGAAGCAGATTGCCAGTTCTCTCTCCCACAGAGTCTCTGGGTGGGTTTCAATCTCCAAACTTTCCATTAGCAAACAAGCATTTTTGCACCATGAAGTCTCCTCGCTCTCTCTAATCTGTCGCCCAATCTCTCACCCTAATGTACAGGGGATACTCAGGAAATGCCCACTGTACTGGAAACAGCACAGAGATATTTTCCTCTGAACACTGACCGCATAGATGAGGAGACAAAGGCTCAGAGACCTAGAGTCACACAGAAATTAAGTCGTGGAGTCAGTTAGGAGGTAGGATTCTTGGTTTCCAGTTGGGGCTCAGTCTTTTCAGCAGGCTAGCTTCATAGTGAGCCTTATGCTCTAACCTTTTACCACCTGTTCTTTCTCTGGCCCTTCATTTGCTGAAAAGGGTATAGCCATACCCTGGTAGGGTTGTATAATGAAGTGAGCTTAGATCACATCAGGTCAGCTGAGGTATCTGAAGCTCAGCATCAGGTTGGACAATCAGCTTATCAGGGTTTTTTGTCATATTCTCTCTTACCAACATTGTATCTGGCGCACAGACCATACAAACAGGAAGGATCTTTGGGGACAGGTTCTGTCTTTCCCATGAAGAAAAACTGAAGTGATACTTTGAAATACCATAAAAGATCTTTAAGAAAATATTTTTGTTATCTCATCTTTGTTAGTGAGCCAAGTAGCCAAATGCTTGGTTTGCCTCGTGAATGGTCCAATCTAGGTTGGCAGTGGAAAGTCATGTACCCCATCCTCACCTGGGTCTCAACATTCATATTCCCTCTTGTAAAGCAGTGGAACATAAGAAGAAAAAGGGCAATACTTTAGAGCCTCCCTAGAGCTTTGGTGGCCTAGTGGTAAGAAGCTGCACTGGTATCTCAAAGGTATGCCGTTTAAATCCATCAGCTGCTTCACGAGAGAAAGATGGACAATTTCCTCCTGTGCAATTAAACTGCTTCTGAAAACACATTGGAGGTCAGCTATGGGTCAGTTCCAATTTGACAGTACACAACAAAAACAAAACAAAAACCCACAAAGGGCCCCTTGGGGTTATCTGTCTGAATTTTTCTTCCTCAAATCTCCCAACTCAGCCTAACCCAGAGATTGCCAGGCCCTGACTACCCCTGAGTGCAGTCATGACCAGGGAATTGTGATTTTGTAACCCTTTGGATATGAGAAAAACTCAATGACTGGATCTGCCAAGATGGTGTTTCAGTTGACTGAGAGATAACTCTCTCAGTTTGTAATAAAGTGAACTCTTTTGTCAAGCCCAGAACTGCCTCCTAGGGCAAATTTTGCAGGAGTATTTGTGTTACCAGACACCAATCCTTAATTTAGTATGCAACACATAAAGACTAGGAAAACATTTGAACTCTAGACTAACCTGATGATATTAACTGGAAGGAAAAAGAGGGGAAGAGTAGAAGTGAAATAGATAAATCTATCCTAATATTCTGCACTTTAGAAACTTAAAACTTCTGAATTGCCCAGAAAATATAGTACAGAAGCAAGAGCCTGGTCAGGGAAATCAAAGACCTGAGTTCTGGTCCCGATCTCATGGCAACTTGCAGTTTAACCTGGCTAAGACTTACCTCTTTGTGCTCGTTCTCTGGCCTAGGGAAGAAGACGTCACTGATCTTGAAAATAAAGTTTTATTTTCAAGTTTTTACCTGAGTTATTTAAGACAAGTGTTTTGTTAGAAGAGTGGAAAATTACAGGCAATTATAGGGGAAACTGCTCACGGAATCACTGGATTAACAAAACAACAATGTTGTTGTTATGTACCATCAAGTCACTTGTGACTCATAACAACTCTATGTACATAGCTCTGAACTCTGTTCTATCCTGAGCCAGTCTTACGTTCTCTGACACAACCATTCCCATTATCTCAGTTACTGTGTCAATCCATTTCATCCAAGGTTTTCCTCTCCTGCACTGCCCCTCCACCTTTTCAATCATGATATCCATCTCCTGGTCATGTACCCAAAGTATGTGAGATAGAACTTCAAAATTACAAATATCAGTATGGATTTTTCCTGGTGCTTTCTTGATTTGAAGAATACGTCTATAATAGAGGGTAAACCAGTTCTTCCCCCCCCAGCTCAATACCGCCCTCAACTGTGGGTTGAAAGCATTCTTCTGTGATCTCTCTGTGACGGGAGCTGGAGATACTACGAGTAGATGTCCAGCCCATCTTTATCAACAGTGATTCTCAAGCCTATGGTACTGCAGCTCCTTCTGACTTGATACTATGGAGGAATGCTGGGTTGAAAACTCAGACCAAACTCACTGTAGTTGAGTTTTCTGATCTCACAGTGACCCTACAGGGCAGTGTATAATCAGTTCATAGGATTTTTCAAGTTATAATTTACACATTAGACTGCCACATCTTTCTCCCTTGGGTCAACCACTAGGTTCAAACTGCTGACTATCCAATTAGTAGTGAAAGGCTTAACTATTGTATTCCCAGGGTTTTGTTGTTGTTGTTGTTAGGTGCTCTTGAGTAGAGTATGACTCATAGCAACCCTAAGAACAAAAGGTCTGAATCCTGTGCAGTTCTCACCATCTCTGGCACTCCTAAGCCCATTGCTGCAATCACTGTGTTAATCCACCTGGTTGAGGGTCTTCCTCTCCTTCACCATACCTCCACCTTTCCAAACATGATGTCTTTCTCCAAGGAATAACCTCTCCTAGCAACATGCTCAGACTATGTAAGATCAATCTTTTATCTTTTTTTTACTCTGAGGAATATTCTGGCTGCATCTTCTCCAAGACATATCTGTTCTTTTGGCAGTCCATGAAATAGTCTATACTCTTCTCCAACACCACATCATAAAGGCATCAATTCTTCTGTCATCCATATTCCTTTTCCATTTATCAGATGCATAGCAAGTGACCAAAAAGACAATTACCTGAATCAGGTGCACCTTAGTCCTCAAATTAACATCATTTCTTCTCAATAATTTGGAGTGGTCTCTGATTACAGACTTTCCCAATGAAATACATCTCCTAATCTCTTGACCGCTAGTACCAAGTGTATTTATTGTAGATCCAAGTAAGATGAATTATTGACAGTTTCAACCTTTTCTCCACCTATCATGATGTTGCCTATCAGTCCAGTGACAAGGATTTTTGTTTTCTTGATGTTGAGATATAATCCATATTGAAGAAGGCAGTGTTAATCTTCTGCAGCAAGTGCTTAAAGTCCACTCACTTTCAGCAAGTGGTTACATCATCTGCATAATGAAGGTTATTGATTAGTCTTCCTACAACTCTGAAGCCATATTCTTCTTCATAGAGTCCAGATTCTCAAATAATTTGCTTAGCATACAGATTAAATAGATAGGAAGAAAGGATACAATCCTGATACACATCTTTCTTACTTTTAAACCATGTAATGTTCCTTTTCTGTTTTTGTTATTGTTGTTGCTGTTTTTGTGTCCCATTGAGTCAGAAACAACCCATAGCTGACCCTCCTGTGGGTTTTCAGAAGCAGTTAATGTCACAGGAGGAGACTGATCTGTTTCAGTGGGCATAAAACAGTTAAGCAGTAATATTTGCTGGGCCGCAGCAATCAAAGGGAGGAAGAGTCAAAGGAGCTATCCAAAGACTGTACTGGAATTTCTGTTGCTATCTACCCATTTATCAATTAAGATCCCAAAGTAGAAAGACTCTTTCCATCATGGATATTTTCAGTGTCTCCATTTACTGCAACATGACCAAAAATTTGCCAAAACCAGAGACAGGATGGAAAGTATGCAGCATAGAGAAAGGCAGACCTACCACACCTACCGAAGATGAAAAAACAAGTCATTCCTGGTTAATACTATTGGTGAGCAGAAAGCAGGTTGCAGGGAACTTTGGAGAAATTAATCCTTCCTAGCAATGTGGTGACATTTTTAAAACACTTTCAATAAAAGCCAAAATAGAGGGAAGCTTAGAGGCATAGTTTAGGAGAGTTAACATTCCAAAAGAACAGTTTGGGATATGGAAAAGAGTACTGCCAGCAGCCTTTCTCTTGTATGATTCACTGCTTAATGTCTTTCTATACCACTAGAATTTCAGCTCCCTAGTATGAAGACCTTCTCAGCCTTTTTCAGCTTCACTATCAAGTACCCAATATATAACATATGTACATTGTATGTACTTTTTCATGTATTGTTCATGTTGTTGTTGATTGCCATCAAGTTGAGCACAACTCATAGCGACCCTAAGAACTAAAGACCTGAAGCCCCTCTACAAAAATCAACATTTATCAAAGTTCATAGAGTTTCCAGAGGCATGTTGTTTAGGAAGTGGATACCACTCCTTTTTCCAAAATTTTTCATATATTGGTGAAAAAAGTGGAATGAGGGAATTCTGATGTAGAATGACAGATTCTAAATTAGGCTGGAGCTCATCAGTGGTCCTCTAGAACTGGGTGTGAATCAGTATAGTTAAATTAACTCCATAGCAATCAATACACAATTATCATGCCAATAGCCCTGTTTTTCTGATCTTCAGGTGTTCCTGCTTCCCATGTCTGCACATCCCTCTCTAAAGCACCATGGAGACTCTAACCTGTAATGGATCAATGAACTCCTTGCCCATCTTCTACCTCATGGGTATCCCCTCCCTGCCAAAATCCTTCTTCCTTCCTATCTTCTTTGTCTTTCTCCTCCTCTACCTGCTCATCCTGGTGGGAAATGCTCTGATCTTGGTGGCCGTTGTAGCAGAGCCCAGCCTCCACAAACCCATGTACTTCTTCCTGATTAACCTCTCTGCGCTGGACATCCTTTTCACCACAACCACTGTCCCCAAGATGCTCTCCTTATTCCTACTTGGGGATCGCTTCCTCAGTTTCCCTGCCTGCTTCCTGCAAATGTACCTCTTCCACAGCTTCTCCTGCTCAGAAGCCTTCATCCTGGTGGTCATGGCCTATGACCGCTATGTGGCTATCTGCTGCCCACTGCACTACCCCGTCCACATGACCCCACAGACCAATGCTGCCCTGGCAGCTAGTGCCTGGCTCACTGCCCTCATTCTGCCCATCCCAGCAGTTGTGCAGACTTCCCAGATGGCTTTTGACAACATTGCCCATATCTACCACTGCTTCTGTGACCACCTAGCTGTGGTCCAGGCCTCCTGCTCTGATACCACCCCCCAAACCTTCATGGGCTTCTGCATTGCCATGGTGGTATCTTTTCTTCCCCTCCTCCTGGTCCTTCTCTCCTATGCTTACATCTTGGCCTCAGTACTTCATATTGGCTCCCGAGAAGGACGCTCAAAAGCCTTCTCCACCTGCAGTTCCCACCTCCTGGTGGTCGGCACCTACTACACATCTATTGCCATATCCTATGTGTCCTACAGGGCTGACCTGCCCCTCGACTTCCACATCATGGGCAATGTAGTGTATGCTATTCTCACACCTGTGCTCAACCCCCTCATCTACACCCTGAGGAACAAAGATGTCAAAGCTGCCATCATCAAAATGGCATGTCCTCAGGACCCAAAGCATGTTGGGAAACCCTGATCCATAGGTGTCTCTTGATCTGCTCACACACATCAATAACAATAGAAAAAAGTGTGGAAAACCCGGGAAACTATGTAGTTACATTTCTAGTAATTAAAAACTTTTTATTCTCAGAGACCTCAAATATTTGATGAGAAGAAAAAAAAACCAAAACACTCCACCTCAAATCTTTTTTTCTTCTTGGATCTCTTCTTCAAGATCTTTTTTAGTCTCCAAGATTGCTGGTATGAATGCAAATCAGTCTTGCTTTTCTTGCTGCCCATTTGTGGAAGAGCATCTTAGAAACACTCCTCAAGAGAAAAATCTAAAAGTACTATTCCCTCAATTCTTACTGTCTGAAAATTCACTGCGCTGTAAACATCCCAGTTCTACTAAGCAAGAAATTTCCCTCTGTTTAAACCTTCACAGAGCCATAAAAGAATATATCCCCCTTCCCCTCTAGCTGGTGCTCATGCACAAATCTGTCTGGTCACCAAAGTATTACAGTTCTTTTGATTCTCAGCCTCACCATAGTTTCTCCATCCACAACACTGAGTAGAGACACAGAGTTTCCCTTTATCGGTAATAGGCTGTGCACAAGGCCATCATAAAAGCCCTAGGTATTCCTACTTCTGCTTTAGCAACTAGTCTAGGCTCCTTCTCCTATGGAAAATTTCTTCTTGAAGATCAATCAGATTTGTTCAGCCTAGGATGTACAATTAAAAGTGTTCAGGGAAATCTATGAGACATATATCATCTCTGCTTCTTCAAAGATTTCTAAGCTTCTGTTGTGGTTAATTAAGGCATTGACATATCCTTTAGTGACCAAATGTTTGATTTTTTTTGTTGTTGTTATTGATACTATGTGTTTTGGTAATTAAAGCCACATTGAAATTGGGAAGAGTGTCATTTGTTGGCTGATATGGGTTTTTATAAAATTGTATGCTACACATATGCCCCAAGTGGACTCTGATGGTAGGATTGTGGGGTGAGGTCCATTTCTTCAGGCTCACACAGTTAGTTACAGGTGTATCTGCCACTCGGTAGCACCTACTACAATGGGGCTGGCAGCTTCCCAAGAAAACAGAGAAGCTGAAAATATTTGTGGGTGATATAAGTATCATGGGTCAAGAAAAGGTTAACCATCTTTCTTATGCATAAAACTCAATCAAAATAGTTGGGAATTCAATTAACGATGCAGTTCAGCAAAGGATCTGATTTGTTTCTAGACTTCACTTTCAGCAATACCAGAGATCTTAGCATGATCAGAAAAGTTTTCTTAAAGCCAAGTTAAATAAAGGTGGAGTATTTTCTTTAACTCTGACCTTGGGCAGCTAGGACTGGAGCTCATCTTCTTCCATGCAAACCTATTTATTTCTGCAGGCCTTGTATTCCTCAATCCCTTTAAATAAAAATAAAAACACCAATGGGACCACAATTCTCAAAGTCTAAAGTAGGCGACTTAAGTTGTCTTATACACTTGAATTTCATGATCTATTAGAATTTAACTTAAAGATACAGAATGATTTTTTCCCTTTCTTATTCTGCTATCACCAAATAAATAACTCCAAAAGTATTCCATGTTATATCGAAGTTCTGTTTTGTACACTGTTAGTATCAATTTCAGTGTCAAGATTTTGGTTTGCTGTGCTCTTAATCAGCTTCGTGACATCTTTTACCTTCAGTTCCTCATTTCTGTGAAACAGATGAGTCACAGAGAAAGTAAACTGTAGTGATATGAAATCCCAGACTAGCTGCACATTCTCTCCTATTTTCCAAACTGCACTAAAATCCCGAATCCAACAGTTGCTCTGCGGATAAAGGATGGGCAATCTCCTCTCGTCCTCTCCTCAGAGATGTCAGCCAACTATGGTGCCTTGAATGTGTGTTACTCTTCACAATCCTAACAATAATCCAACCATTCGCATCCAGCTCTTGAAAAGACTCACTCTGCATCTTCTGAGTCTTCCACCCCAGGGCTTCACCCCACCATTTTCTCCATCCTGGTTATTGTTCTGGGTACACACATCTTGCAAAAAAGCCTGACATCTCACCTGATTGTTTTCTCATTTAGTATGTCTTAATATTAAAAACTGCTAAGACTTTGATTGGTTGGATCTTAGTTTTATGCCAGGTCATCGGTCACTGTAGCCTGGGAGTTGGTGAGTCTTTTGTCAGTGGACCTCCAGCAGAAGAAGTAAGGAGTTCAATCATATGGCTTAACTGTCACACCTAAAAATGCTTGCCTATAGGTGAAACAATTTCACTCACCTGGAAACAAGAGAGCAAACATTTTGAAGCCTATAAGGAGTTGCACTGCCAATTCAAAAGCATGTGGTTCAAATCCACCTGCTGTTTCATGGGCGAAAGATGAGCAGTCACCTCTGGTGTGATTATTGTCTCCAAAAACCTACTGGAGGGTCAGCTATGGGTCAGTTCTGACTTAGGTGTTGTTGTTGTTAGGTGCCATCAAGTTTAATATGACTAATAGTGACCCTATGAACAAAAGATCGGAACCCTGTTCTATCCTGTTCCATCCTTACAATTCCTAACACACAAGAGCCCACTGGGGCAATCACTGTGTCATTTCACCTCGTCAAGGGGCTTCCTCTCCTCTGCCAAACCTCCACCCTTCCCAGCATCATGTCCCTCTCCAAGGAATAACCCCTCCTAGCAACATGCCCACAGTATATGAGCTTTATCATCTTTGCCTCCAAGGAGCACTCCAGCTGCACTTTCCCTAAGACATATTTGTTTGTTCTTCTGGCAGTTCATGGGATATTCAGTACTCTTCTCCAACATTACAACTCAAAGGCATCAATTCTTCTATCATCCTTATTCATCATCCAGCTCTCAGATGCAGAGCAAGTGACCAGAAAGACTATAGCCTGAATCAGATGCACCTTAGTCCTCAAACAATAATACCACCACCACCACTTAGAAGGATCATTTCACCATTGTGAACTTCAGTTTCCCTATCCCTCAACTATTTCTTAAGAAGATTTTAATATGATTAGTTAATTTCTTATTTTTTAAATACTGTTGGACTGCATCTACTCCTCTCCATTCCCATTCTCCCCTCCTTTACCCCCGCTGCAGATGTCATCACTGTCACTCTCCTTGGCAAGGCTAGTCTCTTTGCCTGCAATCTTGAACTCCATTCCATTTTCCACAAGTGACCAGAGTCACTTTGGCTTTCTGACTTTTGAATCCCATCACATTACTGCCCTTAACATAACTTAGTGATCTGATCCTAGCTGACTTCTTCGGCTTCAGGTCTGGCTATTGCCTCCCTCATGGTTTATTCTGAACTCTATTTCTCAAACACATCAAGGTCTTTTCTTCACTGAAAACTCATTCTTACCATTCCTGGATAATTTTTCTTCCTTCTCGCCATTTCATGCTTAAATCTTATGTAGGTTTCACCTTGTGCAGGCTGGCCTGCCCTCACCTCACCCTGCAATATGACCTGTAGCACATTTTTGGGGCTTAACAAGAGAGCTCGGTGTGTATTAGATGCACCAGTCTGTGCAAACCTCTTTCTTGTTTTATTTTTCCCACCTTCATTCCCAGTCTTTCAACTTTTGTCTCATTCCACTCCCCAACGTAAGCACCCAATCTAATGTGTTGAATGTATATCAACATGTATAAATATATCTTTATAAATATATATGCATGAGTTTTTAATTTACACAAAAGGAATTATCTTAACTCTCTTTCTTCACTATCTCAATTTTATATCAATTACATTGTTATTTGTATATCTAATTTCAATAGATGCTGAAATTTTCTTCATATGATTTCATCACATTTTACTTTTCCATTCTCCTGTGGAGGACACATAAATTGTCTCCAATTTCTTTCTACCACAATGTCTTAATGAACATCTTTACATATGCCCTTTCATGAACTCATGGAAGATTTTCCCTGGAGAAGATTACAAAGAGTAAACTAGATAAGTAATGTTATTGTTGTAACATATGGTGAAGCTGGTTCTGATTTACAGTGATCTTGTGTTTCAGAACAAAACATTAGCTAGTCCTGAGACATCATCACAGTCATTGCTATGTCATTGTTGCAGCAAGTCTGTTAATTTATATCATTTAGGGTCTTGCTCTTTTGGTCCAATCTTCTACTTTTCCAAGTGTGTGAGACAGAGTTTCAAAATCCCTGCCTTCACCTTCTCCAGAACAGACCTGTTTGGTCTCTTGGCGGTCCATGGTATACTCTTCTATAGCATCACAACTCGAAGAAGAGTTCAATACTCTTAACCAGCACTACAACTTAAAGGCATCAATTCTTCTGTCATCCTTATTCACTACCCAACAGCCAGATGCATAGCAAGCAATTGAGAAGACCATGGATGGCCTGGATCAGGTACACCTTAGTCTCTAGACTGACATCATTGCTCTTTAACATTGTGGAGAGGTCCTTGATAACAGATTTCCCTAATGTAACTTGTCTTTTAATTTCCTGGATGCTGGTGTCAATTATTGATTGTGGATTCAAGCAAGAGGAAATCAGTAACAACCTCAGTCTTTTTTCCAATTATCATGATACTGCCTGATGGCCCAGTGGTAAAGATCTTTGTTTTCCTGATGTTGAGATGCAATCTATATTGAAGGCTACAGTTCTTTCTTAACCTTCTGCAGCTAATGCTTGACGTCTTCCTCAGTTTCAGCAAACAAGGTTATGTCATGTGCCTAATACAGGTTGTTGATTAGTATTTCTTCAATTCTGATGCCACATGCTTCTTCCTAAAGTCCAGTCTCTCAAATAATCTGTTCTGCATATAGATTGAAAAGATAAGGTGTAAGAATAAATCCCTGACTCACTCCTTTCTTGATTTTCAATCATGTAGTGTACTCTTACTCTGTTTGGCCAACAGCTTCCTGGTATAGGTTTCACATGAGCACAATCAAGTGTTCTGGGAT